CGACAAACATCTATGTAATGGGAATGCCAGAAAAAATAAATTGCATCCATTTTTACGACTGGCGGGGAATTGGCTGGTAGTTTCCCACACACCTCCGTTTTTTTTTCTTTCTTTTTTTCCCCAGCATAGATGGGGATTTGCTCCACAGGCTTTGGGAGCAAATGGCATTTAACTCAATGACTTATCCTAGAGGATTTGGATTTGAGAGCCACCCTGGACTGCCAGAGTTTCGCGTGGGAAGGAGTCAGTGCCTGCAGGAGTCAGAAGAGGAGATCCAGGCACAGTGTGAGTGTTCACTTCTGAGGCAGGTTGGGGACCAAGCTAGGGCAAAGCGCCCTCAGTGGGTGCTCGGACCCACACAGAGTTGGGGGAACTGGACCCAGCCAGGGAGGAGCCCTTGAGGCTACACCACAGGTACTCAGACTCTGTGAACAACCCACAAAGGGGCTATCCAGGACTGGGCCATCTGGATAGGAAGCAGCCTTGAACACCCAAAGTTCATACTGACTCTCCCCTCTCCTCTGACTACCGTCCAAAGCGAGCCTGCCCCCACCTGCTATCACCTTGAAAAGCTCCTCCCCTTCCCCCAGGAGGCAGTGACTGCTAAAGCCCCCCCCCCCCAGGTCTCAGACTCCTGGGCACCCAAGAGGTGCTTCTCTCCTTCCCGGCCCTGCAGGTCACACAGGGAGGCTGGAGCCCAGCTTCCTCAGCGGATTGCCGCAAGCAAGCGTATCCTCTCAACCCACCCCACTGTCTATGAGCAGGGAAGGCAGGGCTTAATGCCATTCATTCCCAAGACCCAAAGAATCTCCACCAGGGTCAGCAGGACATGTAACAGAGCTATTTGGAATCCCTGGAAGGAGGTGTTCTACACTGGGGGAACAGGCTCTCCTATTAGGTTGGACAAGACCCACAGAGACCAAGTATGAAGGAACAGGCCAACCCTCCTTGTTCTCTGTCTTCCTCCTCCAGAGAGGCTCCCAGAAGCCGGCCGGCCGAGCTTGGCCCAGGGCCAGGTGCTTAGCTGCTCTCTCTCCAGCACAGCAGAGTTGGGACAGCCCTCCCTAGAGCCTTCCCTCCCGTCCTGCCCCTGCTGAGCAGCCTCTGTCTCACAGGGCTCTCTGCATTGCTAGGGCATTTGAGTTGAAAACTCAAAGCTAAAGAGTTAGAATGGCTGGTGAAGAGCCGTGATGGACCCCTGAGGCCCGGGGAGTGGACCACATTCAGTGTTGACCCTGTTCCTGGCGCAGATCTGAAAGGGCAGGGTGGCTCATGGGGTGGGGCTGGGGGTGGGGGCCGGGGCCAGGGGGCCACCGGACTCGGACTCTCAAACAGACAATCCTGAAGGAGGCTCACCCAGCCTCTCAGGGACGTGACAGCTCATGGAGCAATCCCCCAGCTCAAACTGTCACCAGTCACAGTGGCCAGGGCCACCAGCATCACAGAGGCAGAGCGGACACCTGTTCATAGTCTTTGCCCACCACCCCTTGCCCCCAGCCACCTGGTGGCCTCAAATCAGAACCACTCTTCCCACTTAAGGCTTTTTGAGGGCGCAGGAGTGGGGGGGGGGCTCGCTCTGTAGCCAGAGTTGGCCTGGAGTTCTTGGCCTTCCTGCCTCAGCCTCCAGAGTGCCGGGATTACAGGTATGAGAACAGGTACTACAGAAGTTTCTTTAACTTCCGTTGAAATGCGCTGAGTCAGGTGGCTGGTGAGACGGCTCGGCTCGCAAGGGCAATGCACCTTCCACCAAGCCCAACAAACTGCGAAGGAACTGCTTATCCCCAGGCCCGATGTGGTGGAAAAGGGAGGATGGGCAAGTTTTCCTCTGACCACCTCCACAAGCAAGGTACACATCCCTCCCTACGCCCCCCGGTTTTATTTTTTCCTTTTTAATGTAAATGAGTTGTAATGAGCTTTCAACTACACAATACATGTGCCCCTGATTACATGTATTGGGAACTCAACTCCAAAACTCATGTTGTCAATGGGGCAGGGACTTCTGGGAGATAATTCCATGAGACGAGGTCACCGAGGTGGGGAGAGCACTGGCTTTGTAAGTGAAATGAAAACCTGAGCTGGCATGCTTGTCTGTGTGGTGCCCTTGGCCAGGTTAGATAAAGCAAAGAAAGTCCTTATCAGAGACCAGCACCTGACTGCTAGACTTCCCAAGCCCAGAACCAGGAGTTAAATAAACAAACGCGGTTCTCTACAAACTACCCGGTCTGTGGTATTCTGTTACAGCAACAGAAAGGAACAAAGGCTCAGGGGAACCCATGAACGGGCAAGCAACCAACCACAACTCAGCCTTGGGAGGAAGGAGCTGGGAGGGGAGCGTAGCCTGGGCTGGTCATCCCTCTAGTGTTCCTGAGTTGCCCAGAAGCCAAGTGGAGGGCATAAACTCGTGATGTCACTCAGAGCTTGCCAAGGTCCATGAGCCCCATCCCAGGGCCTCCTCCAGGGTGATGTGAATGATAAGCACAGGGCATGGAGCCACCATCTACTCCAGAAAGGCAAAGCAGACACCTGCATGGAAGGTTCTAGGTCTTACCTTCTGATACTCTCTAAGGCCCCACAGGGCCCATGGGCAATACTGTCCAATCGTCCCACTTTCAGAACCGCCTTCCCTACACCCATGGTCTGTGATGACTAGAGACTAGAGACACCGTGTGAAGAGCAGGAACTCTTCATTAGAGTTTGTCTTTTCCACTGATCCCTCTTGGCTTCCAAATCCTCCAACGGCAATGTCCTATTGCCACTAGGTGGCAGGGACAGCATGGCAAACTATTCTGTATCTGTACCCCCATGGCGGTCTCAAAGAGGGTCCTGTACGGGAGCAGCTGCACGGGGGCCTTTAAGCTCCCGCTCCATCACCTGCTGAAGGACCCTGTAGTAGTCACATGCCCTATACAGGGTAGACACCTGCTGGGGTGCTGTCCTACCGACCCTGCCAGCGTCCCAGGCTGCAGCACAGCAATGCTGGGCCCTGGAGACAGAGCAGGCCTCCCTCCCCTCTTACCACTGGAGGCTTTCTCAAAGAGGCAGTTCTGTACCGGCAGGAGAAGCCTGATGAGCAGAAACAGCCCGGGAGGTTCACCCTGGGAGGCCACAAGAGCCAAGGAGATGAGTGACGGTCCAGGCTCTGTTGTGAGTGGATAGGACACACCTAGATATGTGCGTCGTATGTTAGTCCCTCACCCCAGAACAAAGGGAAGGCGTCTTCCAACCAAGCAGGCAGGTCTGCCCTCCCTTTTGGGACCCATGAGCACATTTCATCTTTGAGGCCGCCTTGCGTGAGTGAGTGCCCGACTAGTCCCAATTATCAAGGAGGCTTCGGGGGTTAGGGAATGCTTCTCAACTGGTAGGTAACAGCCAGGGCTGTTGGGGAACTCATTCATAATCCGTGGAGCACAGAGGGCTCTACGGTTTCTTAGCCTTGAGATGATGTCATGGAACTCCAAAAGCTTGGCTCTGCGGCAGCCTCATCTGCTGGCCCTTTCCCCTTGCTGAGGCTGCCCTACATTGCGGTCTCCAATCAAAGGACTAGCGGGCGGAGGGGGTGGCATTGCTTGGAGTTGGGGGGGGGGATATAAAGAGGCAAGGAGGAGTAGAAGGGGAGAGAGGAAGGTAAGGAGCATGCCTGTCCACGCTGCCTAAGGGACACACCAACAGCTGAATGCCACAGGAGTTCACCAAGAGTTTACCAACCTCCTTTGTCACAGAGCACGCGGCATGGAGCCATCAATCACACCTTCATTTACCCACGTCACTCTCCCAAGGAAAGCAGGAAAGCTAGTCCCAGAGGGGTGCTTCCTCTCGCCCACTTGATGAGGGCCTCTCCTAATTGGCCCCGCTAAATCACTCCCAGGAATGCAATGTGCAATTAGGGCTGGTAGCACCCCCTGAGGAGGGCCTCCCTGGCTGGGCCTCAGTAGCCTCTGGGAAATCAGGACAAGCCATAGGTTCCCTACCTACAAAGAGCCTGGGGGAGGGGCAGGCCAAAAGGATAGAAGCAGGGGATTGGATGAAGGACACCAGAGTCCCGACCCTTGTTCCCAGGACCTCACAGACTGGGTCCCACTCTCTGTCTTTCTCCAAGCATGACCCGGGGAACAGGGCCGCAGACAGCTACAGAAACTCCGCTAAGTACTGGTCCCTGACTGGATGCCCTGAAACATCAGGCATGTAGGAAGCTAGGGTTGTGCCCACCCCTTCCCTCCTCCACGGATTTCCTTAAACACGACAGGGTTAGTACAGGCTGTCCGCGCTGCCTCCAATGCTGTCCACTGTTTCATCTGCCTGGTGGCCTTTTACATGTTCCCAGCTCAAATGCCACTTCCAGTAAGATGTTCTGCCCAGCTCTCTTGGGCAGGAGAATCTCTGTGACTCTTCCATCTGGCCTTCCCACAACCGGGATAGGTCACACTTACCAGGTCAGGGATATGGTCTGACCACCCTATCACTGCATAGGACGTAGTTCATACCCCTTTCCAACCTGCTGTGAATTGCTCCAACATGGATAAATGGAATCGATGAATGGACAGGTATCATCCTTCCTCATCCGCAGTTTCTTATCACTCCCTAGCAAAACCACATTCCCCAGACCCACAGAAGCATCTCCGGAGCTGCCATCTTTCAGGGAAACCTCATCCTGATATAACATCTGTCAGGGCCACATGGATAGTCTGGCTTCAGATCACACAAGAACAAGAGCGGGAAAGGTTCAAAGATGGACCACTGACTTCATCTCAGCAACAAGCAAACCCAAACCCAGAGCCTCCAGGCTATCTATCCAAGGTCACTCAGCAGCTGTATGCCCTCAATCCCACCCAGGATGCCAGGTTTGTGAAAATCCCTGAATCTGAGTTACCTACTAGCACATTCTGGGAGGCTGATCTCTCCGACTGCTTGGGAACCCTGGGCATGTTCAGGGCATCCCCACCTCAGTGTCCTGTCCTCACCTCCCCTAAGCCTAAGGTTGCTGCCCGCCTGCAGGTGCATACCTTACGCTTCTTGGCGCGGCCTTCCGCCTGCAGGGTGCGGGTGCAGCGCTGCACACACTCGGAGAAACTGAGGTTACTGTGGTCGGCACTGTAGTCCAGGTCAGCCAGCCGCGCCAGGGACAGGATGTAGTTACAGGCGATCCTCAGGATGGCCAGTTTGGACAGCTTCTGCCCGTAGGAGTAGCATGGCACCTAGGAACGGCAGAAAGCGTCAGGGACAGCTGCAGTGGACATGTACCCCTCGGTACCCACCGAGGCTGGCAGGGGGTAGAGCAGCCGGATACCTGAGTTTATGACCGGCGCTAAGCATCTGAAGTTTCCACTGCTCACCCATGCCCACACCCACGCCCTAGGGTGTGCACGGATTCCCATTTGACAGGGGAAGACAGTAAGAACCAACCCACAGCCACGCACCAGCTGAAGTACCACAGACTTCTGCCCTGACAAAGCCCCGCCCCTCCCCCCACCAGGGGGCAGACATTCTTGCTACTTCTGATGCTGCTTTTTCATATGTTCATTCATTCATCGGCACTTTTTCTGTTGGACACTTGATGCCCCAACAATTTAAAAGAATTTTTTTCTCTATAGGGTCTCACTAAGTAGTCCTGGATGGACTGGAACTCACTCTGTAGACCCGGCTGGCCACTAACTCAGAGAATCCACCTGCCTCTGCCTCCCAAGGGCTGGGATTAAAGCTTGACTCCTAGGGGCCTAGTACTGTATACCTATAATCCTAGCACTTGGGAGATGGAGGCAAGAGGATCAGGAATTCAAAACCAGCCTCAGTTACACTCAAGTTCACACAAGGCTACACGTGACCGACCCTGTCTCAAAAAACAACTTTTAAAAAATTAGAATAAAAACATGACTCCTAGCCAAGTGTGGAGGTGCACACCTATGATCACAGAGTTTGCGGAGCCAGGGGAGCAGACTGCTGTGACCTGGGCCACATAGTGAGTACCGGACTAGCTAGGCCTACAGACCAGATCCTTCCTGAAAACACGCAAACAAATACACAAACTTCAACTCCTGCCTCCCGAGAATTTAGACTCATGGAGAGTCATGGAAGCGCTACAAACTCTAGCCAGGCAAACGTAACAACCAGAGGCCAATCCCGGGGAGGCCACGCACAGGTGGAAGGAGAAGCCACTCTCTGCCCCCCTCAATGCCCACATGCACCCACCATTTGCACGCGTGCGCGCGCACACACACACACACACACACACACACACACACACTTAGTTATGGCATTCTCTCGGGACCCTGAGACGTTCAGGAGGCTCCTGGAGACATTCAGGGCTCAGTGCCGATACTGAGGCACAGAAATGTGATGTGTTTTCTCCTCTCCACTTCCCCTGTGCCCTCTGCACCTGGGCTACTGCCAAGCGCGGCACACAACAGGTGGGCAATAAATGCCAACCGGACTTGATTCATTTGTCTGTGATCCAGCAGCAGCGCAGCTAATCACTCACTAATTACAGAGGTGTGTGCCAGGGGAGGAGGCAGAGCCCCTGACTTCTTAGCATCGTCCACCCCATACACGTGCTGCGTGAGCCACCAAAGAGCTACGACCACGGGACTGTGGAACTGTGTGTCGTAACATGGACGTAACTCCTCAAAATCTCCCCGACAGCTACCAGCCCGTGGGCCTGTTCCCTCCCTCCCCTGTCCGCTAGCAGACGAGGCTAGTCCCTTGGCATCTATACGCAGCACCCCATCACCAACTCACTCCCTACTGCTCCGCCCTGTGTGCGCCCCACACAGGCTGCTGCTGTAGAATTTAGGGGACACTCTCATGGGGCAGGGGCTCTTTGAAGTCCATGGTTTTGAACCAGGAATAATTTTATTCCTCAAAGACAGACGGCGAGGTCTGGGGCTCCTAGCTGTCCCAACAGAGCAGCAGCGGGGTTCGGAGGGTACCTGGGGTGCTGCCCAACGTCACACCATGTACAGAGTCCTCAATGCCCTCCGCAGCAAAGAGCTCCCTGGCCCCAAAGCCCAGCAAAGCCACCAATGAAAGCCTACCAGAGGCCCCAGAAGGAAGTATGACCAAGTCTGCTCCCTAAACACACCACTCACGTAACCAGCACTACACCCGTGGGCTCTCTCTGACTTCTCGTGCTCACCCTGGGCCCAGGGGGCAGCCTTGCTTAGTGATGGCACCTGTCTGTCTTTAAGCCCTCACTTTTGTCCCCACGCTTAGTGACCGGTGTCCCCACGTGCTGGGGAACCTCACCACAGTACAGTATAATCCAGGCCCTGCCCTGAGCAGGCTTCAAAGGGGCAGATTAAACAAGGCAATGAGTGAATTAACTCCAGAATATTTTGAATCTAGTTCCAAAAACACTACTTGGAGCCTGGAGAGATGGCTCACAGTTAAGACAGCAACCTGACCTTCCAGACAACCAGAATTTAGTTTCCATCAGAAGATAAGGCATCTCACAACGGCCTACTCCAGCAACATGGGCCGCAAGGACACTTCTGGTCTCCTCAGAAATTGCACCAACATACAAACCCACACTCAGACACACATGCATATAATTAAAAATAAAATAAAATGGTAAGGGGCTGGAGAGATTGCTCAGTGGTTAGAATACTGGCTGTTCTTCCAGAGCACCTGAGTTCGATTCCTAGCGCCCATATGGCCGCATGTAACTCCAGTTCTAGGGGAGCCAATACCCTCTTTCAGACTCTTCAGCCTCTAGGAACCTACACGGCATGCAGACATATGTGCAGGCTAAACACTCACAGCCATAAAAACAAACCCTTTTTTAAAAGATAAAATAATCTTATCTGGGCTGGGAGATAATTCAATCGGTATGCCTTGCAAAAACAACTGAGTTCAATTCCTAGAACACATGATAGCACGTGCTTGTAATCTCAGTACTGGGAAGGCAGAGCCAGGGGCATCATGGAGCTGTGGGCCAGCCTGCCTAGACCACTTCGTCAGTTCCAGACCACCCAGAGGAGAGAGCCTACATTAAATAAAAAATACAGCAGAAGCTGTCCTCTGGCCTACACAGACCCCCCCCCAAACACACACACACACACACACACACACACACACACACACTCTTCATCTCGCTGAAGACGAAGAAACAAACACAACGCCTTTGTCTCCAGGCTCCAGCACCTGACTCTGACTCCGTCCAGCGTGAGACGGGGTGAAAGACACACTCTGAGCCTCGGTGCCTCTTTACACTGGGAACGAGACTGACCTCACAGGGCAGTGGGGATTCAGTGCGTGACCTGGGCACTGTACACAGCAAGCCCAGCGGAGGTCAGCAAAACGATGATGTCTGCCTGCAGCGTGGGGGGTCGGGGGACCCAGGGCTATTGTCACTGACAGATCACTCTGAAGTCTCCCTTCAACAGCCAGCTCTGCAACCGAGCCCCCCAGACAGCTGGGCTTTTCTAGGAGGAAGCAGAACTTTGAGAAAGATCTATGTGCTGGGGCCCAGAACACCAGGTAAGGCCAAGGCCAACCCAGGAGCACCATGCCAGGCTCTGGGTCAGTCTGTCCTACATTTGTCCCTTTGTACCACTGCTTGGGTCAAAGTCCTGGTCAAATTGAAAAAAAACCACAGATTGAGCCCTTGTCCCTCTGACATGGCCAGAGTCTCTCAGAGCATTATCCTATTTGAAATCTGCCCCAAGTGAATGTCCCATATGCACATGAAGAAAGCAGGTGACATTCTGAGCCTCACATCAGTCATCTGAGACCTGGCTGAGGCTAGCAGCTCATCTGCCTGACACCCAAGGAAGGCACACAAATCAGGACACTCCTGTGCTAACCAAGGCAGCCATCAGGCAACAGCGGCGTTCAGATGGCTTACCCCTTCCCCTCCCCTATCCTGAGCTGGCTCCCTGGTTTATTCGGTTCCGTCTAGGCTATCCTGGTGCCAGGAGAGAGAGAGAGAACACAGTTGGTAAAGTGCTTGCCTAGCACACCTTGATAACCTGGGTTCAGCCTCCAGCTCTGAATGAACCAGGAGCAGTGGTTCACACCTGTAATCCAAGCACAGGGGAGGTAGAAGCAGGAGGAGCAGCAATTTGAGGTTATTCTCAGCTATCTATTGAGTTGGAGGTTAGCTTCATGTACATTAGACCCTGTCACAAACATATAAAACACACATATCACTCACAACAAACAACAAAATCCATAAAACAACTATCATCAATTTTCCTGGTGACTAAGCAGCCTTTGGCCCTCAACAGTTCAGTTACAACACAGCCTGGAGACACCTTGGCCTGGTTACTACCACAGAGTCTAGGACGCTGAGGTAAGATTAGGAAGAGCAGACTTAAACTCCAAGCACTGAAAGTAACATGATTTAGACCATATGCCTTGGCCGCTCTGAGCCTTAGTTTCCCCTTCATAGGTTAGGAAAAGCAACACCTGTGTTCCTCCCTGAGTCTTTTTATGTTCATTGGTGTTTTGCCTGCATGTCTGTGTGTGGGTGTCAGAAAGCCTGGGACTCGGGGACTGGAGAGTACAGTTCCAGGAGACCCAACACCCTTCCACAGGCAAACAAACAAAGCAAAACAAAACTATCATGCATATTAAAAATTAATAAACAATTTTAAAAAAGAAACCCTGGAACTCAAGTTATAGTCTTGAGCTGCCATGTGGATGCTGGCAATTGAACTTGGGTCCTCTGGAAGAGAGCCAGTGCTCACTGAGTCTGGAGGACATACACTGGTGTCCCCAAGGGCTGTCCCCAAGAGTTGCACCTTACCTCTATGAGCATCCACAGCAAGCCATAGGGCCCATCCACACACCACACTGCCTGCTTAGTCCCCTGCCTGGTCAAGAGCCTGGAGTGACAGGAGTAAGCAGGGCCACCTGGCCCCCACTCTTCACCTGGACTCCCCAGCTTCCGGAATGGTAAGAGGATCTCCTTCATGTTCATCCATGAGGCCTATCGGTGTCTGCACACATCTGTGCAGGCGTACACACACATGTTCCATGTGCATATGAAAGCCGGAAACTGATATCAGGTGTCCCTGATCACTCTCCACCTTAATTTTTGAGACAAGGTCTCTCCTGAACCTGGAGCTTGCTGGTTCAGCTGAACTGGACTAGCTATCAAGCTCCAGAGCACCCCGGCTTTCTACCTCCCCAGTGCTGGGATGATGGATGCATGCCAGCCAACCTGGCTATGACGGTGGGGGTTGAATTCAGGACTTCATGTTTGTACAGCAAGCATTTTACTGGGTGAGTTATCCCCCTTGGTCCTAGACTTTCAACTCCACAGAGGATCCGCTCTCTAGGCCCCCAAACATTCCATTCCTCCTCCACTGCCAAGCCAGACCCTCCCTGGACTCCTGAAAACACGCGCTGGCCTGTCTGAGGGCCTGGCTGTCCCTTGGACGTCTTCCCGACTTTAAAGAAGACCAAAGCCTTACAGGATCTGCTTCTTCACCAGAAACCTGGGCATCCCAACAGCTGCTTCTCAGAATGGGGTCACAGTGGCAAGTGTGTGTGTGTCGGGGTAGGAACAACATAAACAAAATAAGAATCTACCAGAACATCAGGAAAGCCTTGGAAGTCCTTTGCCCTCTGACAGTCCCTCAAGGGCAGTTCTCAGAGACCCTCAGAGCTATAAGCACATGATGTCCCTGCAGGCGGTGACATTCTAGATTCCTTCTGTATGAAGCTATCCTCTTGTGTCTGTGGGACAAGATTTGTGGGATGAACCCCTGATCTAGAGCAGTTCAATGTCCCTGCCAGGGTTACTTAGAAAGGTCCTGAAGATTCAAAGTCTCTACAAAATGAAGTAGGTCACAAGACCAACCTAGGGCCTCACAGAGCTGGAGGGAGACCCAGCCCACTTTCTATAAGTGTCCTGTCAGTGCAATGACAAGTAGTCCTATAAACGTATGACCAAAGATACATATCCACGTCACAGGAATCCCAGTAAACAGTCCCACTCAGAAGTGTGGGCCTGGGGGTAGGGAGAGTCCTGTGTGGAGCTTCCAGTGTAAGCAGGCTTAACCCCCTCTCCAGTCACTGTGGGGGTGCACAGACACTGCTGGGGGGGGCTGTGTCTCTATCACCTCAGAGGATTCGGGAGTCCAATGGAGGCTAAGCTGAGACCATCATCCCCATACCCTCCTGGGACCACTGTGAATTAATTAACCAGGTAGGTGCCCTGGAGACCGCCCCACCCAGGCCCACTGTGGAAGGCAGCCCTGGCCCCACCTTCTCCATGCCTCCTCCATGGGGACAGGCAGCCCTTAAGGGCCTATCACAGTTGGCTGCTGCCACGTCTCCACGGACATCAAGGAGCTACAAGGGAGAGAAGAAAGCACCCACAGGCTAGACATACCAGAGGTGGGCACAGCTGGAGGTCCTGCCAGGGAGCTGAGTCCCACAGCTCCTGTCCTCTACCCAATACTGCAGGCCTTCCCCTTGGACCCCTCCCACCTGGCAGGGAGCAGCCTGCACGTGGCCAGGCCCAGCTGCACACACATGGCCTTCACATGAGCAGCAAGGAGGGCTCGGGTGCAGCTGGGCTGGTGGCAAGAGCTGTGGTCTGACCGTCTGCCTCAGACCCCCTCTCCCCGGACCAGAGGACTCTCTCCCACCTGTATCTCTGCCAGCAGCCACACAGCCCCCTCCGCCTGCCCGCCTGCCCGCCCTTCCTGGTTGGGAGGGTAGCAGACTGCAATGACAGGCAGAGGCCTGACTGGTTCCCTGGGTGGACCAGCCAAGACGCAGAGCTGCTAAGCACTGGCCACTGGAAAGACTCACTAACCCTGATTCATCCCAGGCTCTGCGGCGACTGCACAGCTCTGCGACTGCACAACGCCACGATGCGTTGCCAAACTGGGAACTGAAGAGTGATGGCGCGTGGAGGCAGTACAGCGCAAAACCAAAACAGGGCGAGACCTCAGCCAGTTCACACATGCTTCCTGAGACCCTGGATCACCTCGTGTGACTCGGGTGCCCTGGAGTGATGACAGCGCCTACTTCACAAAACCAGCCGGAACACACAAGGGGGTAAACACCTAGCCTGGAACCTCCTGTGTGCTTATTATCGCACGACTGAAGGACTGGGATTGAACGATAGCTCAGTGGGTGCCTGCTGCCAAGCCCAATAGCCTGAGTTCGATCCCCAAGGCCCATGTGGTAGGAGAGAGCCAACTTCTGAAGTTGTCCTCTCTCTCTCTCTCTCTCTCTCTCTCTCTCTCACACACACACACACACACACACACACACACACACACAATTTAAAATTTCAAACGATCTGGGTGGGTATGGTGGTGTGTACCTTTAATCTCTGCACTTAGAGGAGGCAGAGGCAGGCAGACCTCTACAGACTCTAGACCAGCCTGGTCCATATAACAAGATCCAGGCCGACCAAGGCTAAATAAAGAGATCTTGTCTAAAAACTGTGGGGGGGGGAGATGGGGGAGTTAAAATAATAAAGACTCCACACTGTCTCGTCTTACAGAGCCCTGCTCAGCCCCGAGGCCCTTGCAGACGTTTGAGAAACTTTGTTCCTCTTGCTTACTGCCCCTTTGCGTGGAAGAGCTACCTATGGGGTAGGAGGAACATCATGATGCAACCTTAGCAGCTGAGCCCAGAGAGGACAGCTGACTGTCCACGGCCACCCAGAAAGGCCAGGAGGCCCGGGAAAGGAAAACGCTCCCTGTGACACAGTACTCCACCGACCAGTTGGATGCTACAATGGTGGAGACACGGAAGGCCTACTCAGCCCCTGGCTGTGTGTGTCTGTCCCTCTCAGACAAGAAGAGGTCCAGCAGCAGTCCTTCTAGGGAAAGGACAGAATGGTTAGGGCTACGGAAGGGCAACAGGAGGGCGTGTGTGTGTCCATGTGGTCTTCAAGTACATGCATACATACATACACTGAACTACATGTGTGCACATGTACATGTGCCTCTCTGAGAATGCGTGGGCTCACCTTCTGCAGAGACACGCTAAACTTGACTCTTCCGTGCAGAACTTGCCTCACAGATGGCAAAATGAAAGGAGACAGTAGTAACAACCTCGTCACTGAGAGTCTAGGGTTACCACTCAGTGGGAAGATTTCAGCCAGAGAAGACCTCCAGAAACTGCCGCCATCTCACCCCTGACTCAGATCTTGGCTGAGTCTCTTAGCTTCGCCTGGCCTCAGTATTGCTTACTACAAAATGGGTCTGTCCAATCCTGACAGGGACGTTAAGACTAAATAAAATAGGACGCCTTGTTGAAAGTCACAAAAGTCACAGGACACTAGAGGGGCACACAGGCATGAATGCCATCTCTGGCAAAGGCTGATGATGGAGGCTCTGGGCTCGTGGCTCCCCAGCTAGCAGTAAGTGAAGCCCTTCTGTCATCCTCCTGTCCTGAGAGAGGGACCACAAGACCCCCCCCCCTGCCAGCCTGGCACTGGGCAGGCATGCAGTCACAGCAGCTGGCCAGGGTAGAATGGATGGTTCCACAGCTCAGGGTAACAGCTGACGTTTGCAAGCAACGATAGCCACCCCACCTCATTGGTCAAACGTTTCTCCCAAACTCGGAAGAGACACTCAGGCTGAAAGGCCATCACGGCCACTTTTTCCTACGGGGTTCCATGTCCAATTCGCAGATGGACTAAGTCTTCATTGCCTGATCTTACCCACAGAAGGAAGAGAGTGTGAGTCAAAAAGATGTTTCCTGAAATGGTTTGTGACTGGCTTAAGCCCAGAGAGGTTGAGTAACTTTCCAGGAGACAAACAGCAGAACAAACAAGAAAATTCACCCATTAAAGCAGTTACACCCATCCCCCCCACTCTAACCCCTTACATGACCTGGACAGGAAGGCCCACACCACACCCCTTTTACATGTCACTTGTCCTAAGGAAACTAAACCCCAGGGGAGAGCCGAGCTTATCTTAAGTGGAATTGTCAACTGCTGCCCTCCACCATGGGTAATTCTCCGGTTAAGGATTGTTTTGCTTCCCCCAACAGGTGCTGCTAGGCCAGGGCAGTCCCCACCAGCACGAATGAGGAGCCCGTGACTCCTCCAGAACTCAGCTCTGCAGACCTCCCTAGAGGGAATGCTCCAAGAGGCAGCCCCCTGCGAGGAGGTGACCAGAAGAGGTGAGCAGGATCTCCTGGGAAAGTTCCCACAGACCAGTCCCTGAAGCTGTCCCTGGAGGGGCCACAAACTTGGAGCCCGGTCCTTAGGAGCTCCAGGAAGCTGGCAAGGGCAGAGATCCTAGAAGCAATCCGAGTGAACATGGAAGCCAGGGCCTGAGAGGGGCTCACGGGCTCCCCGACTGCCCTTTACATTGCAGAATCCCCCAGGAACGCACCTCTGCGGTGTTGTGCGTCTTAGTGCCACACACAGGGGGCCGAGACCCCAAGCCCACCGAATGTGCAGAGGTGAGAGGGCGTGCTCCGCTCCCCTCCCCTCCTCTGCCCTGCCAGGGGAAGATTCCCATATCCCCCCTCTGTATTCCCCAGCAAGCCCAAGGGATTCCAAAAGACAAATACTCGCTGCCATACAAGTCAGTCTCGCGGACAAGGTTAGCCCTCGGCAACACCGACCTGGGTGTCTCTGGACCAGAGATCCTTACTTAGCTTTGGCCACTTTGCAAACTAAGGTTCATGGCAACAATGATACCGCAAACCCGCCTGCCTTGCGGGATCCCCTTTATCCTGGCTCCAACCGTGGAGCCACTCACCCACCCACTCCTGACCCTGCTGCCCCGCGGCGGAGAGTGGGTACCTGCTTCCTGAGCGCCTCGAAGGCTGCGCTGATGGTGTGCACCCGCGTCCGCTCCCTGGCGTTGGCCAGGAGCCTCCGGGTCTGCTGCAAGGCTTTGATCTCCGTGGAGGCGGCGGTCGCTTCGCCTGGCCGTTTCCTAGGCGACGCGGAAGAATCTGGGTGGTTATTGTAAATTACGTGTGAAATTGACGAGTAGGAACTTTCCCCCGAGCGCGTGGGGGGCGCAGGGCGCACAGGGGACTCTCGTGGCGCCGCTGGGGGTTCGGGAGGCGCAGACGGCGTGGGGCGCGCGGGAGGGGCACACAGCAAAATGCGGGGACGCAGAGCCGGCTCGCGGTAGGGCTGCGCCTCTGGACGCCCGGGTGCCAAGCTCTGGGACGCGGGTGGCGGCGTGGGCAGTCCGGGCCCCACTGTGCCCAGAGCGAAACCGCGTTTGCGCGCGTCTGAGACCTCGGGCGCTCGGATGCCCCTGAGCTCCCTGGCTGTGTCCGTGCCTCCACCTGGAGGAACCGCCGGCGCCACGGAGGCTGGCACTGGGGTCGCGATCGGGAACGGCTGTGTCCTGTCCCGGAGCCCGTTGGTGGCGGCGGTGGCGCTGGCCGTGGCGCCGGGCTCGGGTGCTTCCAAGTCCAGTCGGAAAGTTTTATAGCCGTTCGCGCGCCGCACCGGCTCCTTGCCTTTCCGCTTGAGTTTCTTGAGGCCGTTCAGCTCTTTCACGCACACGGTCTTCCACGGCCCGTCCTCGAGGACCGGGATGTGCTTCATGGCGCGGACGGCGCCAGGCAGGGGCGTGGGACTGCCCGGGACGCGCGCCCGCTGCGATCGCTCTGCACGCCGCGCGCCTGGCTGCGCCCGGTGGCCGCCGCGCTCAGCGCCGCCTTGTCGCCGCGCTCTCTCCTCCTACCCTCCCTCCCCGGGTCCCTCCCTCGCTCCCCCACTCCCGGGGCAGCTGCGCCTCCGGCTCCGCGAAGCCTCGGAGACTGCCCGTTCCCCCAGGAGCGCTCAGAGTGTCATCAGAAGTCGCTGCCGCTCTGCCAGCATTTCAGCAGAACGCCCGCTGCGCTCCATCTGTGTTTGTTTAGCCTCAGTTTACACAGAAGCCCGGTTCGCAAGATCACTCAGCGCCGCCCGCCCGGAGAGGAGGCTGCTCCCGCCGCCGCCGCTGCCGCCTCCCCAACCCAGGCCGCCCGAGCCGCGAGCGCCTTTAAAGAAACAGGAAGCATTTTTCAAAACAGCTGGGCTGAGGGCCGCCTCCTTTGTCCGCGTGCTCTCGGCCTCCCCCCACCCCCAGGCCTTCTGCCGGAACCTGCCTCCTTCTGCTCGCCCTCCCCGCCCCCTACTCAAGTTAGGGGCGCGCCTCCTCTCCCCAAAGACAGTCGGCTCCCTCCATGCTGTCCTGAGCACGTGGCTGTTGACCGCCCTGGCCCTTCGCTGCCCAGCCTTATTGGGCTGGGGGTGACCTTCCCCACCCAGAACCTTCCCGTCTCCCTCCCACCCAAACTGTCCAACCGAGGGAGAAATCCCAGAGCTGTGCCTTCTGCTGGGAGTGGAAGGTAAGTGGGAGAGAACCCCAGAGTGCCTGGTCATTGTCATCCCAAACACTGCTGGAGCAGAGGTCCCAGGAACAGAAGAGGATGCGTTGACACTGGGAAACTGAGGTTCCAAAGTACACGGGAGGGAGAGGCGGGTGGATGCTTCTGGTTTAGCAGACCTAACATCTTTGAAGATCTGAAGTCAGCTCACCCTAGGTGCCCTGCTAAACCCAGATTTACTCATCTATGAAATGAGAAATCGGGAGCACATCCATGCTTGTCACAGGAAGACTTAAACCACTAGGCGCATGGGGTGCCCGCTCAACAGTAGCTGTGCTAATGCTATTGGCCAAGGCAGGCTGGCTTCTCCAGGAGGCCTAATGTCAGTGGTAAGGAGCAGAGTCCACTCTCCAGATCCCTGGCCCTGCGTTCCACGGGAGACACTTGTAGAAAAAAAGAGGCCAACCAGGAGGCCCTGAAGGAAGGCCCTCTCCGAAGACCAGACTGTCCCCTGAGCTTCTCTCCTCGCCGAGTTTTCCAGCGTTCTTCTTCCTTGAGGGGCGTGGTTAGTAAAAGGATTAAATGAGGCTTGCACATAGTATTTGAATGATGCCCAAAGTCAAGCGAATGGTGGCCCCTGGACGCACTGGCGTAGTGAACTGCGTCTCCGGATCTAGCCAGAGCTGGGCAGAGCTGCAGACTGGGTTGCCCTCGGCAGTTTGGAGTATGTCAGAAGCTTTCACGTTGTGGGATATCGTTCCTAAAGAGGCAGTGAGTGCTCTGGGGCTTCCCTATAAAAGCTGAATCCCAGCCCTTCCCTAATATCCCCCAAGAGGATGGAGAGGCCAGGTAGTCCCCTGGAATGGAAGGAGATGGAGCTGAGGCAGGGAATCACACCTATGCTCGGTAGATCTTGCCTCTCCCACCCCCTCACTCAGCCACCTCTCCCTCTGGTCAACTTGAGGGTCTGGAGTTGGCAACAGGCAAGCATCCCTTCCTTATCCGAATACTGTCTCTTTAGTGTGGAAGGGCGCTTGAAGGAACAGAAGAAAAATGTAAGTAACCTAACCAATGGGAAGAGTGCCTGTGATTGCATTCTCAGTCTACCGGGTCACAGAGGGCAGGATGAGGCCAGCTGCACACATCCCTGAGCAAAAAACCTGTCCCTTCCAGTACTCTGGATTCCCAATTGCTTCCTTGAGAAGCTGGGTAGAAACCGGCTGGGCAGCGCCCCCTGGTGGCACAAAACTTAGGAGGCTGACACCACACTACTGACCTCAAGAAGAGTAGCCCTATAAAGACAGTACGAAGAATTTCAGGGATCCATAGAGGTGCTGCGATGAAGAGGCTCTCAGTTCTCCATCTTTGCTTTGTATGAAATGACACAGATGCCCTCCAAGAAAAATCTATATCCTTAGCGAAACCTCCCTCCACTGACACAACCTTTTGAGGTTATACTGGGAGAGCATAATGATGTCTCTGGAAGGTTCCATATCCTTTAAATGGCTGTTCCATGGCCCAGGGGTTGAAGCTAGACAAGGAAGGGAAGGCAAATGCTTGGAGCTTGCACCACAAGAGAGACATGCTACCCAGCCAAGGGCTGATAAGTACCACCCCATAGGTTTCATATCCCTTGTATTCATGACCCGGGGAGGCAAACCCACACTACCCACAAGAAAACCAAGGCTTCCGTAGGAAGAAGTAGCCGGCAGACAGGGAGTGTGAGATGCTGTTTGTATCCAGGCCAGCTGACCCTGGAACCTGAGCTCTGAACTATTGTACTTCCTGCCTGGTGACCAGCCCCTGGCCCGTCGGTGGGATTGGTCTTTTTGACAGCTGGTTGACCCTTGCTTGTGCTTCTAGCCTGAGTAGAAGCTGGGGCCACAGGTCTCCTTTAGCCCAGCCTGATGTCTGCCTGGCTCCTTCCAGATCAGAGTCAAATGGCAGGGGCCCCACCTTGAGCAGTCTGGAGTCTCAGGCTCCAAGAGCCTGAACCACTGTAGCCATACACTTGTGTTTCTCTGTGCTGCCTAGTGGAACCTGTCCCACAGGTCCCTGACACACCAGAACCACCCATGAGGGCAGGACAGCTCTTCAGGAGGGGGCTCTGTGATTGCTGTCTTCTTGGCCACATAAGAAGGGACCTTAAATGCTTGCTGCATGAAGCTCTGCATTCCTGAACACAGAGTCTATTTCTGGCTGTTCAGATTGTTCCAAAGTGCCTGTGCCCCGCTAGAGAAATCGGGGCAGAGTGAAACTTAGACAGCCAGGTGCAAAGAGAACTCAATGCAAATGGGGCCTTTGTAGTTGTCTCACAGCAGCCATGCCCGGGGCCAGCTGGGGGTGAAAAGAAAGAACAGGGTCACCCTGGGTCCCTGTAAGTCTCTCCCTGCCATCGAGCCCCGGAGCCAGCCCCGGAGCCAGCACCGCCATCAGCCAACAGGACATTGCATCCGAGGATGAGCTATCCGTCCTCTTTGCACCTTCCTGCACCCCAGTGGCTGTGCAGCTATCACAAACCAAGGGTCTTGGGGATAGGACAGAGTAACAGGGCTCTGCAGGGGAGGAGGGAGGAACCTTTCTCGGAGACGCTGGGGTTCTAGCCCTGTCCTGGGTGCGTTCTGTCCTTAGTGAAGCAGATTCTCTAGAGAAGGGCAGTGGGGGTGGAGGACACACCCCTGACTCTCAAATTCAGAGGAACCCGAGAGAGGTAGGGTGCCATTCATCAGTAGAATATCTGTTCAGCATGCACAAGACTCTGGGCTTCATTCCTAGCATGGGGGAAGGGGAGAGGCAGGGTTGGCTGTTAAAGTGTAGGATGCATGTGTCATCGCCCTGCTCAAATCTTCCCAGCAACTTCCCTTTGCTCCAGTGTCTCGAGGACTTCTGCAGAGCCCTTCTCTCTGTGTGTTCCTGGACAGAGAGCAGCGGGTCTGGGCTGTCCCGTGATTCCTTAGGCTAATGTACCCTGGGAGGTGGCCCTGTGCTGTACAGGGACCAGTGATTCTGCTGGGGTCTAAAGGGGCACCACAGTTCCTCTGAGACCTTCTCCTGCTGTGATAAATTGAGCAGGAGACAATGGATGGAATCTATAGCTATTCATACTATGGGCAGATTCTGCCAGGTGCCATGATGGTGCTGGCTAGCAGGAGGAATTTGATGAAGTTCCTGCTGTCAGGAGCCCACATACTAATGGTAGGTAGTTCCCATCCATTCCTCTGAGAATCTGTCGTGCTGGGATGTTGTTCCCAAGGTCGGAGATACAGCGGTGAATGGAGGAAAAGCCCCTGACCTCAATAGAACTACCATCCTGGAGCAAAAGGAGCAGAGTCCTGGAGGAAGGCTGAGTCTGACCTTCTGTGAAACAGCTTGCTTCTGGAGGAGAGCAAGAAGGAGCCTGTGGTGGAAAGCTCTGGGGGACCTCTTGGAAAAACGAGCATCTGGGTCCGGCTGGAAGGAGGCAGGGTTTGCCTAGATGACCCATACCCCGGGCTTGCTCACCCTCTTCCTTCATGCCTATGCTGTATGTCCCATGATCACAGAGGTCTCCCCTGTCCGTCCATTTGCAGCTGGCCCCCTGACCCTGCTCAGTCTATAACCTCCCATGCCTCTTTTCCATCAGGTTTCATGGTCTGTGCTCCCCAGGCGGCAGCAGGAAGAAGCAGGTAGGAGCCCTGTCTGGGTAAACAAAGACCCTTGAGGCAGGTGGCGTGGAGCTACTCTAACAGCTGAGTTTTGCTAGGAAATGGTGGGCTCCCTGCCCAAGGCTGGCACACTGTCAGCCAAGAGGACATTTGGCAGATGAAGAGAGAGCAAGCAAGTCTCCAGGCACCCAGTTTCCCTTGGCGTGCCCCGCCCCCATCCTCCCCTGACCTCACTGCCACAGGGTGGGACCCATTGTGCATCCCTCTCTTTAGGGTCAACAATGGGGACACTCTGAGGGCCATAGGCAGGGAGGCTGTCAGCCCCTGCTGTGTATGCCTAGCAGGCCCTGTTTCAACCAGATGGTGGAGTCTGTCTACCCTCACGTCATGTGACCAGCAGGGATATGCAACACCCTCGTTTGTGTTCCTTTATTGGCTTGTTTGGGTTCTTGGTTATAGAAGAAAGAGAAGGGGGCTGCAGCGGTGACCAGTCAGTGGCTAAGAGCACTTGCAGCTCTTCCAGAGGACCCAGGTTCCATTCCTAGCACCCACATTCTGTTGCTCAGCACCCCCTGTAATTCCTGTTCCTGGGCATCCAGGGCCCACTTGAGGTCTCCTTAGGCACTGCACACACACACACACACACACACACACACACACGCACGCACGCACGCACGCACGCACGCACGCGCGCGCGCGTAAAATAATAA